TGTGTCCGTCAGTGGTGTTCTGCATTCTTGGGTCGCTTTTAGTGAACCCATCATGACAGAGATAGGCACTGGCCTCACCGCAAACCTGATTAGACTAAGCAGTTGAAGATGGATGGATGATTATATCAGGATAAAGGAAATTTTAAAAAGAACAGGTTTAGACTACATTGTTTTATAGGTCTATGCCTCATATTGTTGCAGTTGCTGGGCAGCTCTAGTTATGTTGAGGACTAGAATGTCTGTTACCAGCTGATCACTTCTGGCCTTCACTGTTTTTGGAGTCATCAGGATGCAACCACTGAATTAGCACACATCCCTGTTTCATAAACCTTAAGTTGCCATCATGGTTCTCAACAGAACACATTACCACAATCTTTACCAATGGGACCCATCCTGTAGAAGCCAGATTGTCTGCAGATATCTAACATGACATCCCTCAGCTCTGGAGATGATTATCATGCTCAAACAGCATGATGGGAGATTGACTCAGCTTCTCTTCAGCCCTGTTAGTCACTGATCCAGAAGATTTAAGTGTTATAATTAGCCATGATGAGTTTCTATTAAAACCCTATGTGGGTGCTATTTTCTAATGTTTAAAGACCAAAACATGTCAGCTTTACATTGCTGCAATGTTCTGGTCTTTTCTTTCCCATTTTAAAGACTGTCTAAAATGTCTATTTATTTTCTTTTATGTTTAACTTGATCATTTTTTGTGTAAATCTCAAATATCTCTTAAGTGCATCTGGAGATTTTTACCAGGACAGTAGAGGGCGCTATAACTCATTCAGAGTTAAGGTCACATTAAATACACTAAAATTTGAAAAGTCTCAAACAGTTTGCCTCTAGTGACCGCATATTGAACATGAGCACCAGACTTCAGCAGACATCTAACCAGCAGAGCTACATGATGTCTGATGGACCTCCTTACCTCCTTCACGGTGCCTTTAACGCTCACTTCCTTTTTGTCTTCAAAGCGTTTTACTTCTCTGATGGTGAAAAGTGGACTGAGAAGTTTTTCGGCTTCCAGCTCCATATTCTTGGGGATGTCAAACGGACTGGTCCGTGAGATTTTGGCCTTTTCTGTAACCTTGAGAATGTTCTCCTTCTGATCCATTAGAACTTCTCTGAGGGTATAGAAGCTGCCTTCCTGAATGGTTGGATATTTTTCTTTTCCAAACACCACAGCTTTAATAGCGCCGGTATCATCAGCGACTGCAACATGGAAATAAAACCCTTCCTGCTTTTTTTTTGTAAATTTGGCCAGGCCTGATTTCTGCACAACCTTCACAACCAGAATCTTTTGGCCGAGGTCACCACTGGCCTTCAGATCCTTGATGGATATGCTCTGAAAAGAAATCAGATCACAGGTGAACAGAATTCAAACACAAATAAAGAACTAAAAGGTGAAATACTCTGTTAATGAAACCGATAATTCTACTCACCATGTTAGGACGTATTCTCTGGAAAATTGAACAGTTGATTAGATATGTGACTTTATCTAAAGAAAAAGACTGATCCTATGACATAATCTGTATTATGTGCCTATCTGCTTTTCCTCTGGACCCTAATATAAAATAACACATTTAAACTTTGCTTTCACATGGAAATGTTGGTCTTTGGACCATAGAACAACAGCCTTACCTGTTCATTTCCTCTTCAGCAAAGGTGAGATGCTTGTCTGTCATATACTATACTACTAACTGCAACTCCGTGAAATAATCTGTCCGTTATCTTTTCAACTAGTTACTTGATATGATTGTCACAATTGTTTATGACTTCCTAATCACAGTCTGTTATTAAAATTACATTTCAGTTGCTTATGAATATATTTTGACACTGTTGTTCTCATCTACAGTACATTTATAGTTTAAATTCATACTTGACTCAACAGAGGGTGGCTTTAAAAACAGTGGCTTTATTTAATGTACAACATTTTTTCCCCCAGATTTGAATGTATGAAATTGATATTTTCACATTTATCAGGCCACTGTACATGTTTAATAGCTCGCTCTAAGCATCTGTTGCAACCA